CCCTCCGTTTCTTTTTTTTTTTTTTAAGATTTTATTTATTTATTTGACAGAGAGAGACACAGCGAGAAAGGGAACACAAGCAGGGGGAGTGGGAAAGGGAGAAGCAGGCCTCACACCGAGCAGGGAACCTGATGTGGGGCTCGATCCCAGGACTCTGAGATCATGACCTGAGCTGAAGGCAGATGCTTAACGCACCCTCCTCCATTTGTTTCTGAGTCCATAGTCTCTCATGGTTCGTTTCCCCCTCTGATTTCTCCCCCTTCATTTTTCCCTTCCTACTATCTTCTTTTTTTTTTTTAAACATATAATGTATTATTTGTTTCAGAGGTACAGGTCAATTCTTTTTTTTTTTAGATTTTCTTTATTTATATGACAGACAGAGACATAGCGAGAGAGGGAACACAAGCAGGGGCAGTGGGAGAGGGAGAAGCAGGCTTCCTGCCGAGCAGGGAGCCCGATGCGGGGCTCGATCCCAGGACCCTGGGATCATGACCTGAGCTGAAGGCAGATGCTTAACGACTGAGCCACCCAGGCACCCCAGTACAGGTCAATTCTTAAAACTCAACAAAAGTAAACAAAAAATTGAAAAATAGGCAAAATATCTAAACAGATACCTCACCAAAGAAAATATAAAGATGGCAAGTAACAATGAAAAGATGCTCCACATCATTTGTCATTAGCAAACTGCAAATTAAAACAATGAAATATTGCTACACACCTATTATAATAGCTAAAATACAAAAATGCGACAATACCAAATACCAACAAGGATATGGAGCAACAGAAACTGATTCATTGCCAGTGGGAATGCAAAATGGTACAGTCACTTTGAAAGAGTTAGGCAGTTTCTTATAAAGCTGAATATAGTTTTAATCTATGATTCAGCAATTGTGCTCCTAGGTATTTACTGAACGGATCTGAAAACCTATGTCCACACAAAAATGTGCACATGAAAGTTTATAGCAGCTTTATTCATAATTACCAAAAACTGGAAGCAACCAAGATGTCCTTCAATAGGTGCATGGATAAACATACTGTAGAATATACATATGATAGATTATTATTCGATGATAAATAAACTATCTAGGTATGAAAAAAACATGAATGAACCAAAACGCACATTGCTAAGTGAAAGAAGCTGGTCTGAAAAGGTTGTATACTGCAGGATTTCCATTATATGACATTCTGGAAAAGGCAAACATTTCCTCAACCAGGTGATAAAGGTCAAAATCAACAGTAATAAATCCTATGGACAGTACATACCCATTATACCCTAGATATATATGTACCCTAAAATGGAATTTTACATCTGTGACCTTTCTCTCAAAAACAAATTACCCAGTTTAATCAACAAAAACAGCAGACAAACCCCAACTGAGAGACATTCTACAAAATACCTAATCAGTACTCCTCAAAACTGTCAAGGTCATCAAAAACAAGGAAAGTCTGAAACTGTCATAGCCAATAGAAGCCTAAGGAGACAAGACAACTAAATGTAATGTTAGTGTTCTGGAGGGGATCCTGGAACAGAAAAGGACATTAGGGGAAAACTAAGGAAATCTGAATAAAGTATGGACTTCAGTTAATAATGTATCAAATAATTGATTCATTAATTCTAACAAATGTACTAATGTAAGATGTCAATAAGACAGTAAATTGGGTATGAAGTATATAGGAACTCTACTTTCTTCACAATTGCTCTATTAATCTAAAATTGTTGAAAAACACAAAGTTCATTTTTAAAAACAACTGTATTTTCATATACAAATAAACAATCAAAAAGTGAAATTTTAAAATTCCATTTACAACAGCATCAAAAAAAAATAGGAAATACTCATATAAATCTGACAAAAGTAGTAAAGGACTTATACACTACAAAACATTGCTGAGGGAAATTAAAGATCTAAACAATGGAGAGAAATACTGTGTTTATGAGTGGGAACACTTGAAATTCAGATGTCACTTTCCCCAATTCCAATCAAATTCCCAAGCGGGTTTTTTTTTTTATATACTGTGAAAATGATTTTAAAATTAAAATAAAATACAAAGGAATTAGAATAGCCAAAACTATTTTGAGAAAGAACAAAGTTGGAGGACTAACATTACCTAATTTGAAGACTTAAAAAAAAGTAATCAGGCAGGTTATACTGGGATTGAAATATATAAATAGATCCATCAAATAAAATAGATAATCAAGAAAAGACCTATACATATAAGGACAAATGATCTTCTACAAAGCACAAAAACAAGAAAGCATAGTTTTTCAACAAATACTGGAACAACTGGATATCCTTATGCAAAAAAAGGTGAACTTTGATCTATACCTTGACCATATATAAAAACTTTGACATGAATAGATTTAAATATTAAGAGCTATAAAATTGCTAGAAGAAAACACAAAACAAAAACCTCAGTGACCTTACAACACTTGACAATGATTTCTTTAAAAGAATACAAAAGGTTGGCTATAATTTTTTAAAAATCAATAAATTTCACTTAATCAAAATGAAAAAAAATCTGCTCTTAAAAAGATAGTTAGGAAGGGCGCCTGGGTGGCTCAGTCATTAAGCATTTGCCTTCAGCTCAGGTCATGATCCCAGGGTCCTGGGATCGAGCCCCGCATCGGGCTCCCTGCTCGGCGGGAAGCCAGCTTCTCCCTCTCCCACTCCCCCTTCTTGTGTTCCCTCTCTCGCTGTGTCTCTCTCTGTCAAATAAAATCTTTAAAAAAAAAAAAAAAAAAAAAACCTTACATTTCGAAAAAAAAGATAGTTAGGGGCACCTGGGTGGCTCAGTCGTTAAGCATCTGCCTTCAGGTCAGGTCATGATCCCAGGGTCCTGGGATCGAGCCCTGCATCGGGCTCCCTGCTCAGCGAGAAGCCTGCTTCTCCCTCTCCCACTCCCCCTGCTTGTGTTCCCTCTCTCACTGTGTCTCTCTCTGTCAAATAAATAAATAAAATATTTAAGAAAAATAAATAAAAGATAGTTAATATAAAGGTAAGCCACAGAGTGGGAGAAAATATTTGCAAAATATACCTGAAGTAGGACTTAGAATTTAGAAAGGACTTTTACAACTTGATAATAATATAAACAATTCAATAAAAGTGTGCAAAAGATTTGAACAGACACTAAAGAGGATAAATGTATGGTACATAAGCACATGCTCAGATACTCAAAACCATTAGTCATTAGGGAGGGCAAATTAAAACCGTAATACATACCTATTAGAATGGTTAAGATTAAAAAGATAATGCATACCAAGTGTTGATGAGGCTACATAACACCTGGAACACTCATACACTACTGGTGCAAATGTAAAATAAAATAGTACAACCACTTTGGAAAACAGTTTAATAGTTTCTTCAAAATTAAACATATATCCATCACATGACTCAGTCACTCTACTCTTAGGTATTCATCCAAGAAAAATAAAAGCTTATGTCCATACAAAGACTCATATAAGAATGTACATGAATGTTTTATTTGTTATAGGCCCAAACTGGAAATAACCAAAATGTCCATATGTTCACACAATGGAATACTACTCAGGAACAGAAAGGAATAAACTACTAATTATACAACAAGGATAAATTTCAAAATAATTATGCTGAGGGAAAGCATCCCACTAAAAGAATATATACTATATGATTTCATTTATATAACATTTTAGAAAACCAAAACAAATCTCTAGGACAGAAAGCAAATCAGTGGTTGTCTAGGGATTGGCAGGGTAGGTGAGAAGTTACAGAGGGGCATGAGGAAATTTTTGGGAGTGATGGGTAAGGCCACTATCTTGATTGTGCTGATGGTTTTAGATATATAGATATAGATATAGATATAGATACTTACCAAACTGAACACTTTAAATATGTGCAGTCTACTGTATGTATGCCAACTAGGTTCTACTGATACTATTAAGAGAAAACAAATGTATGCAAAAATTCTCCTCCAAATATACATCTATCTGATAGAATATTTTAGTAAGCTACTAAAATGCTTTCCAGGAACTTCTAATGACACAGGCAATGCTTATGATTTACAATTAAGTGAAACTGGCCAAATATATAACCTAATATAGAATGACATCAATTACACAGAAAGCTTACATAACACGGATGGAAATATTCCTGGTTAGAAAGAGATCTATATTAATAATAGTTTTCACTGAGTTATGGAATCATGGATGATTTAAATTTTCTTTTAAATTTAAAAGAAATTTCTTTTAATTTCTTTTCTTTTCTCTCTTTTCCAAGATTTCTTTGTCTGTACTATCCTTTTAAAGAGGAAATTTAGAAATAAATGAAGGGAAAAATTTGAGTCATTATCTGTCCTGACAAGTGATTTCAATATATGTACCACAGACCCTTGAAAGATCGGAGAGGGAACTCTGGGAACTCTTATGTGAACCAAGTATTATCTGTAGACTTAATATTTCACACTCATATGAAATACTATTTTTCAAATGTTCACAGATGCACAGCAATTCAACATTACTGAATCTGTAGAATTCTCTCATATCAACAGACACTAAAAGTAAAATTGCTAACATGGAGGTCTTTAAGAACTTATTCCCTTACATTTATTGCCTGTAGGTTGCTTTAATTGGAATTTCTTCTGCTACCATACCACTATGTAGGAAGAGCTAAGAACCTACTTGGTATTCAATTAACAGAAGTTCCCTTACATTTTCCTACATGTTCAAACACCAAAGTCAAATATGCTCTGTGCCCAGAAGGACTTTGTAAAAGCTATTTGAGTTAAACATTAGGCTTTCTGCAAATGTAAGATGACGATTACTAGACATCTGACTCCTAGTTAAGTATGGCATTACTAGTCTATAAGTGATCTTCGGGAAATCATTTAATGTGTGCTGAGGTTTCTACAACTGCTTCATAATAATCCTCTCAGAAATTAAAGTCAACAACTTAATTATCATTATAAAATACTCTACAAAAAGTAGAATCTAGTAGTTATAGTAAACTAGTTGTTTAAAGGTAATTTACCTCAAAGAATTATTCTCTGCCTTTTGTCTGCCAAGTTCACTTTCAGTATCCATTGCCTTTCTTGCTAGTGATTTCATTTCTTTTTCCACAGTGGTTATGGTTTCCTTCATCAAAGTCATATTTGACATTTGCTCCATCCGTTCATCATCAAGCTATACAAGTAGAATGATAAGGTTACTGCCACCACTAACAAAATCTTCTTAAAGAGACATCCTCTCTTTGTGCAAACTGTGGCATATGACAAGATTTATACCAGGAGATGATCATATTAGACTTGAATGTTGTGGGAGGCCGTATGGACAAGGTATTGTGGAGTAGGAACAAGAACAAGCCACTGCACAGCCTGGGCATAAAGCCTATCAGAGTACATGCATCTACATTTTCAATCTGGTTCATTTTGACTGCAGCATATATATCTTATTTGCAAAAGGACGTATTTGTTGTTCAACATTAATAAGTTATACATATAAAGTGGAATTATGAAAAAAAATGTTTTTCTCTCCTGAGTAATGCTTTTTTTCCCCTCATTACAACACAGATGAATGTATAAATATATTCAATTAAATTTGGTTAACAGAAGTCAAATTCCCCTAATTTTGTTTATATAGTCGTAACATCTCAAATATATATTCATAGCATCTAAAATTCTTGATTAGCAAAAAGGTGATGCTTCACATTTAAATTCAGTTTAAATATATTCTTCTCATAATTTTCATTTCATAATAATTTCTTCTACCTTAGCTACTCTTTCGGTAGAATAAGCCAGTTTCTCTGTATCTGGAAACATTATCTTTAATGAAACAGGGAGATAAGAAAGTTGCTAAAATCCCCCACAGATGAGAAAGTTGCTAAAATCCCACAGATGTATCCCTAATGGGTTTTTTAAAAAAAGAACACACTTTGCAACCTAAAAGAAAAAATACTTCACTTACATTTTTTTGTGGAAGGAAATAAACAATGAAAAAGTGATAATTCATACCATACATACCACCTAAAATGTTTTAGGATTACTAACACTATCTTAGAAAAATAAAAGAACTTCTCTGAATATAGTAAAAAAGGGAAAGGGGGAAGCTATTGACAGTTTATGGCTGAAAACACAAAAATGATTTTTCTTTACATTATGAACAGTACACTCCAGCTCTTCTATCCTTTGTTCCAAGTGAGCCTTCTCATTAAATGCTGTCTCTTGGGCAATCTGTTTAAAAAACAAAAACAAAACAAAATGTTTTCAATGTCGCTACATTGTGTTTCACAAATGGTCATACAGATAAAATTCATCCAAACCTTTAGCCTTTCCCTCAGGCTGTCTCGTTCTGTGGTCATTCTTCGTAAATCAGTGAAGGCCACATCTCTTTCAGTCTCCACCCGCCGGAGGATGGCATGTGCTGTTGTTGATTTAGGAGACTTACAGTTTTTCATCATTTCTCGTCGAAGTCGGGCAATTTCTTCCTGTGCCTATTATTTAAATACATAGACGTCTATTTAACAAGCTTTAGAAAAGACATAAATATAGCTACCTTATATCCAGCCAGTTAAAATACAAACCATTTATAAAAATGGATGCAACAGGATAATGTTTTTTAATGAGTTTATATAAATAAATGCAAATGATGTCGAAAAATGCAAATGAATACATAAAAATAGAAGTCTGGTTTATAATATCTTTGCCAAAAATTTTTTAAAATTAATTTGGAGGCAGTCAATATAAGAGAGAATATTTTACTAATTTTTGTGATATAAATTTGAATTCAGCAAAATTCAGGTAAATAAATTAATTACAGTGTTCCCATCTTTCTCTAATAAATGTATATGCCACTTCCATGTCCTGGCTACTTTTACCCTAACAGAAGGCTCATCAATCCTTACGGACAGCCCAGTATACTCTCTCACACTTGTTCAACCATCCTCAGGTCGCAAACCTATTCCACACCTACAGATAATTTCTTATCCTACTGTGCTACTTAAAAGTCCCTAATCTTTCTTGATTTTGATCACTACCTATTGAGCTGGTCTCCAAGACTCAGAGGAAGATATATTACTTCCCAATCTCCATAGCAAAGCTTTTACCAGAATCCTGGACTTCATCTCCTGAAATGCCTTCTAAGATACTCCTGACTCGATTACAGATGACCCTTGAACAACATGGGTTTGAACTTATACACAGGTCCACTCATATACAGATTTTTTCAACAAATACAGTATAGTATTATAAATGTATTTTCTCCTCCTCATGATTTTCTTACTAACATTTTCTCTTCCCTAACTTATTTTATTGGAAGAATAAGTATATAATACATATATAAGAAATGTGTTAATTGACTATGTTATCAGAAAGCTTCTGGTCAACAGTAGGCTAGTTGCAATTAAATTTTTGGGAGTCAAAAGTTATACAAAGATTTTCAACTGTGCAGGAGGGTTGGCACCCCTAGTCCCACCTTGTTTAAGACTCAGCTGTATAATTATTTCCTCTCACTTTGAATAGCACCCTCTCCACTGGCTCTTTGTCCCCTGCCTTCTACCATAACACATGGCTCCCATATCTTGAAAAACTGTCATTTAACCTTGCTGCCCAATTTACCATCCCATATCTCTTTTGCATTTGACATATTTTTTTTTAAGCACAATGCTTTGTAACCCATTTGCCTGTTCCTCAGCACCTACTCTCCCACCCCAGTGTAAACTACCTGGCTCCTATACCCACCATTTGGCAGAATTTCAAATAATCACCTCCCCAAATGGTCTTTTCTCAGTTCCCATTTTTGATATTTGGCAACATTTGACATTGTCTTCAACACCCTGTTTTAGACTCTTTCCTTCCTTGGGCTTAATACTGTTTTACCTTGGTTTCCTATCTTCTTTATCTCTTTTAAACGTTCCCATACTAATTGGAAAAAACATCCAACATTACATCTGTTCCTCTATAGCTTTCTCACTGAGACACCTCATCTACTCTGAAGGCCACAAACTCATCTCTAAGAAGATGAATTCTCCACCTACATATTCAGCTCTTACCTCTCTCCCCACTCCAGTCTCACATTTTCTGCCTGAATGCAATTACCACCTGATTGTATGACCATCATCTTACTCTATCTGAAAACAATATATCTTTTCCCTCAAATCACCAATGGTTTTGCTATTTCTTTTTCTACCAAAATTCTTAAGTCATTCAAAAAAGAACTTCAGTCAGGTCCATTCATCCCTCCTTTTTGCTAAAACCAGATCTTGTTAAGGCTTCTGTTACAGTGTCTATTGCATCTCTCCCTATCCTTATTTCCACTGATAGCACACTAGCCTCATGCATGGATTGCTCTCACAGCCTTCCAAAAAGTCCACAGTTTCTCCATCCTCCAATTCTCTTGAAAAAGAAATTGTTATATAAAAAAATAGAAAGATTATGAAAGAGATAATATAAAATTGTTAACAGGTTAAAATTATAAAAATGTGGCTGTGGTTATTTCTTCTGCCCTAAAACAAAACAAAACAAAAACAGATTGCCCATTGCTTATAAAGCAAAGTATAAACCCCTTATATGGCCCATTAAACAGCCTCTACCTGTACTTCAGAAGTTGGCCAACTACATGTAGCTCACAGGCCAAATCGAGCCTGCCTCCTGTTTTTGTAGGTCTTAAAGCTGAGAATGTTTTTTACATTTTTTAAATGATCAAAAAAACAAAAAAAAATTTCATAATATGTATCATAGGTAAAAATAATATGAAATTCAAATTTCCGTGTCCAAAAGTAAAGTTATATTGTAACACAACCAAACTCATTCATTTGTAAATTGTCTATAGCTACTTCCTCACTATGACAGAGTTGAATAGCTATGAGATTGCGTGGCCTGTAGAGCCCAAGATTTTCTGGACATTTACAGAAGAGGTTTGCAGACCCCTGCTCTAGTCCAGTTTACCTCTCAAGCCTTAGCTCCCCCTTACTCCAATGGCATATAGCTTTTAGTCTAGTCTTAATTTGATCCATTTATCTACTGATTTTCCTGCCTTTATCCTTTGCCTCACACCATTCCTTTGGTCTGGAATGTTCCTTCTTACCCCTTTCAAGATAATAGGAACTCCATTCTTCCTTCAGGACTCAAATTCCATATCATCTAGCAAAGATTTCCTTGATCACAACAACTAAAAATACCCACTTCTTTTATTTCTTACAACAGCTTCTGGAACACTTATACTTAAGTAACAAAAAATACGTACAAGACAATATACTTTATCTCCCCAAGTAGACTGTGAACATAGAAAACAGTGTTGGTATTTTATCATTTTTTTCTATCTCTTAGAGTGTCTAGCTCAGAACTCTGCATATAGTAGCTATAATTCTTAATAAAATTTGGTATTTTTAAAATAAATTATGTTGGTGATTTATGGGGTTTAATATTTGTTGAGTAAATAAGCTATATGGTTAATAAGAGATATATATATAACTTTAAGCTAAAAATGGATATAAACTACAAACTCATTTTACTCTCCTAAATTAAGCAAATTATAAGCAGTTCCTAAAGTGATTGACAGTATATCAGAGTGATATTAGCATTTTGTAACCCCCAAATCCCAATCTGTTTACCTTGAACTCACTATTTCCTATCATTTAACACTTTCCTCATTTCTCATGCCAAAAATCAGACTATTTCTATACATGTACATGATCTTTTTGGATATGAGGATAAACGTGTGTATGTGTGTGTATGTGTACACATACACTTATTGTGTTGGAAACACATTACATTTCATTAAGAATACCTTAAGCACAAAGTAATTCCCAAATGTTAGGTTAATTTGATTGGCAGATTTAAGCATTCTTATAGAACTTAAAAAATTACATATCTTGAAAATTGTGCATTGTTACTTAGATATGTTATTTATAAATTTACCTGTTCATAAAGAAGAAAGGTCTTGTCTCTCTCAGATGTAAGAACCTTGACATTACCCTGAATTTCTGCCAAATGACGCTCATATTTTTCCAGCATGCATTTAAGTTCTTCACGGTCTCTTGTTGTCTTCAAAAGCTCTACATCACAGTTTGTACCCTACAATTATTATATAAGAAATCTGAAATTCTTCTTTGACATGTGGTTCTAAGAAAACAGTGCTACTAATAGCAGTACACAATCTCTACTCAAGCAAACATGACTATACAATGAAAGGAAATGATGTAAAAAGTTTTAAAAATCACTTCTCTTTTAAACAGGTTCATCCCAAAGTGGTCCACATTTATCTGATTACCTCCCAACTACTACCAATACCAGAGATAAAGAACTAAATTCAACGGTCCACTGTGCCATCAAAGAGACCTCTGTCTCCCCAGTTCTTGGATATACCAATTCATGCCAAATCAAAATGAATTAGTTGCATATTAGGTAAATCAAAGAATAAAAGTGTTTGAGCAACAAACTCCAAAATATTTCTAAGTTTCCAAAACATACCCGGGAAGATGGAGATGGGCGTCTTGGACTTTTAGATCTACTTCTGATCATCTTTCTCAAATTCTGAGCTTCACTCTTGTAGTAATCTCTGTCTGCTTCTAAAGTCTTGACAAAGGAATCAAGTCTGGAAGGAGATTTATTTTGTGCTTTTTCAGTCTCTAAAATTATCTTGCCAAGGAGGAAAAAATTAGGTCATTATTTCAAGCTACACTATAGCATCATTTTCTATATGAAAACTGAATAAACAGGATCCTTAAAAATAAATTTGGTATTTTAAAAATAATTCATCAATCTCTTTAAAAAGCAGTTAGATGCTTTCTTTTTCTAGCATTTCTAAATGTACTATATTTTTATTTAACTAAAAGGACCCCCAAATTTACTCAATAATTTTAAGAAAAAATGGTAAAGAAATTTCAGAAAGGCCAGAAATGTCCACATATCTAGTTATAAGTCCTAGAAATTGAATTAATTTGCTTAGGAAACTTGTATGCTATTAAAACTTCTGTTTGTGGCATCTAAGTTTTGTTCAATAATTGTTCAATAAATGAATAAATTAAATGAACGCTGGATATTTTATACTTGTATACACTTTCAAGTACATTCCCAATCACCTTAGTGTATTTAGAAGCATTTTTTCTTTTACAATCTTTATTTTACCAATACTTTATTGGGAGAAAATTATAGATATGCTTTCAGAGAGGGTGTTCCAAATATTTTAAATGATAACATTAAACAGTCTAAAAGGAGTTTTCATTTCACATTGTTAGAAAAAGAAAACTCATTACTCAGAATTAACTTACAACATTTAATATTTATTACTAAGAGGGATAAAACTTAATGTGTAAACAACTGCATCTTATGTTTTGAGAATTAAATTACTCACAGTCATCATTTTAAATCAAGTAACCGCTAAGAGCACTAATAAAACCAACCAAAGTTCTCTCCACCTCTAGGAAAGAAAGGCGTAATGATGAAATGCAGTGAGAACAACAATGCTCTTACAGATGGGAAGTGCCCCTGTGCACCAAAGCAGAGTGCTGATTTTAGAAAACAGACATATTTTATTGTTCACAAATGCATGACAGCTAAAACACATATACCATTTTTTTGTAGTCTAAGAGAATAAAAATGATTCCTCTACATTTATAAAAAATGTACTTACAGATCTAAGCCTTTTTATTGTATCTTCCAATACTATTATATTATTTTGCTGGCAAATGAGTTCAATCTGAAAAATAAGCCAGAAAAACTGTTATTTAGATTAAAAATATTTAAACAGATTTAACTAAAAAGAGAACATCAAAAAAGGAAGCCACTTGAAACAACATGTGTTGGCGAGAAAGTGGAGCAAAAGGAACCTTTATGCACTGTTGGTGGGAATGCAAACTGATGGAGACACTGTGGAAAACAGTATGGAGGTTCCCAAAAAATTAGAATTACCTTACGATCCAATAATCGCACTACTGGGTATTTACCCCAAAAATACAAAAACACTAATTCAAAGGGATACATGCACCCCTATGTTTATTGCAGCATTATTTACAATAGCCAAATTATGGAAACAGCCCAAGTGTCCATCGATAAATGAATGGATAAAGATGTGGTTATACACACACACACACACGCAATGGAATATTATTCAGCCATAAAAAGAATGAAGTTTTGCCATTTGCAACAACACGGATAGAACTAGAAAGTATGATGCTAAGTGAAAAATTCAGAGAAAGACAAATACCATATGATCTCACTCATATGTGGAATTTAAGAAACAAAACAAATGAGCAAAGGGGGTAAAAAAAAAGAGAGACAAACCAAGAAACAGACTCTTAACCATAGAGAACAAATTGATAGCTACCAGAATGGGGGGTGGGTGAAATGGATTAAAGAGTACACTTACCATGATGAAAAAAAATTATATTAAAAATTTAAAAAGGGAAGCCACTTAAAAATAAAACCATGCAGTGAATAATTTACAAAAGAAAAGATAATCTACCCTTTCTGTTCACCTACCTGTGGATGGTAAAAGAACATAGGATGAAATATAGCAGTTCCCTTTCCATTAACCCAAGTTTGTTATTAAATAGTAATTGGTTATATTTTACCAAATGACTGCCTACAAATTGCAACAAAATGTTAATACCAATTATAATTCTGAAGATGGTAATAGGGAAGAGATAAAAGAATGAGTAAAAGTCTTCCCAAATCACCAAAGTCAGAGTGATTGCTTTCTTCTCTGAACTCTTTTAATAGTTTAGTTCAATCAAACCCATAAAATACTTTTTGTATCAGTTTTAGGATGTTGAACATACCCAGTCTTATAGTATAACTACCTGTAGTCATATAGTTAGTATATGACTAGACAGATGTTTCTAGAGGACAGTGACTATGTTTTCATGCAAAGATCTATTTGATATAATCTATGCTATAAATTGGCATATTAGTTTAATACATTTATTTCTCAATTCATAAACCTTCCCCTCATTATTCTAAACTGTTTCTTGCTATATTTTAAATTTGACTTTTCTGGAATTATTGCTCATTTGTTCTTTAGACCCAAATTCTTTCTAAGATTTCTCTGTCAGTCATATTTTTTTGTAGTCTACGAAATATTAAGGGGCAATGGTATGAAACAAAACTTACATATAGTTTGGATAAGCTTATACAGTTTTGGACAATTTCCAATGCTTTAATTTATACTATTATGTAGACACCAAAAAGAAATGGATCTGTATTAAATTATGTATAAAGGTGCCCACATTAAATTAGGTATAAAAACACACTGCCAGGGCGCCTGGGTGGCTCAGTTGGTTAAGCGACTGCCTTCGGCTCAGGTCATGATCCTGGAGTCCCGGGATCGAGTCCCGCATCGGGCTCCCTGCTCAGCGGGGAGTCTGCTTCTCCCTCTGACCCTCTTCCCTCTCATGCTCTCTATCTCTCATTCTCTCTCTCTCAAATAAATAAATAAAATCTTTAAAAAAAAAAAAAACACACTGCCAAAAATTTTGTCTGACGCGTTGTTGTAAAAAGGAAATTTATACACACATATCCTAGATACAGATGGAACATAACCAGTAATATGTAAAGTGAGGAAGATAAGACTATGTCTAATTACAGCAAGGTGTGATTTTCTTCATTATACTCTTATATAAGAACTGAAATTTTTATGATAAACATGTATTACTTTTACAGACATAAAAAACATAATGCTGATTCCACTCTGAAAAACAAAATTATAACTAGCCCAAATGAAAAGATGCTAACCCAGTGTTTTCATTTATCTGACAAACAATTAATGAGGACCTACTATGCACTTGACATTGTGTTATATGCTGGGGATAGCAGGGAATAAAATAGACAAAAATCTCTGCTTTCCACATGCACCCCAATGTTTATAGCAGCAATGTCCACAATAGCCAAATTATGGAAAGAGCCCAGATGTCCAACAACAGATGAATGGAGTGGTATATATACACAATGGAATATTACTCAGCCATCAAAAAATTGAAATCTTAACCATTTGCAACTACATGGATGGAACTAGAGAGTATTATGCTAAGTCAAATAAGTCAATCAGAGAAAGACAACTGTCTTTTGATTTCACTCATGTGTAGAATTTAAGAAACAAAACAAGAGGAACATAGAGGAAGGGAGGGAAAAATAAAACAAGATGTGATCAGAGAGGGAGAAAAACCATAAGAGACTCTTAACCATAGGAAACAAACTGAGGGTTGCTGGAGGGGAGGGGGGGTAGGGGGGATGGGGTAACAGGATGATGGGCATTAAGGAGGGCACATGATGTAATGAGCACTGGGTGTTATATAAAACTGATGAATCACTGAACTCTACCTCTGAAACTAACAATACACTATATGTTAATTAATTAAATTTAAATTAAAAAAAAGAAAACCTCTGCCCTCATGGAACTTATATTCTAGTAGAAAAGAGAAAAACAAAAGAGGTAAAATATATATCAGACAGTTAGTCTTATTCAAAAAATACATAATGAGCATTCATTCACATCTGTTCTAGGCAATTGAGATAAAAAAGTGAAAAAATAAACAAAGATCCCTGCCTCTGGAGACCTTACATTCCAGCTGGGCAGACAATAAAAAAAAATAAACCTAATAAATAAATTATATAGTCAGGGGAAAAAAAGAGCAGATTTAAGGGAGTGTTTATGAAGGAATAGGTTGGAATTTAAATAGGGTTATCAAATAAGTCCTCATTGAAAGGAGACCTGGAGGGGTGCCTGGGTGGCTCAGTTGGTTGAGCAACTGCCTTCAGCTCAGGTCATGATCCTGGAGTCCCAGGATCGAGTCCCACATCGGGCTCCCCGCTCAGTGGGGAGTCTGCTTCTCCCCCTGAACCTCTCCCCTCTCATGCTCTATCTCATTCTCTCTCTCAAATAAATAAAATCTTTAAAAAAAAAAAAAAAAGAAAGAAAGGAGACCTGGAGCAAAGAGAAAGGGGTGGGTCAACATATAAAAATCTGGAAGAACATTCCAGGCAGAAGATACAGCAAAAGCAAATAAATGCCCTAAGGCAAAAGAAGGTCAGCTAAATTCCGAGGAATAGTAAGGAGTTAGTGTGGCTGGAATAGAGTGTGCATAGGGAAAAGTAGTTGGAAAGTACTACAGAAAAAAAGCAGGGGAGCAAGAGGGGGAATAAGCATGGGCAGGGAGGAAGAACTTAAATAGCCTTTACACTTTATCTTTCACATGGTAAATTTTGAAATATTTTTGATTGATGAATCACATACCAATGTAACAATGACAAGAGCTACCAAAGATCCAGTCCAAGAATAGGCCTTATGTTAATTAAAATATAAACTGTATGAAGAAACTAATAATAGTAAAATTGCAATTCTGCTTATTTCAAAAATTTATGTTCAATTAGCTGGAAAACACTGTATTATTAAGATATAAATGATTTAAAAAAAACTGAAAATGAGAAGATAAAAGGAGGCATATAATTCTGGTGGTTTTTAAATACATCTATAAATTTTGAGGTGCCTGGGTGGCTCAGTTGTTAAGCGTCTGCCTTCGGCTCAGGTCATGATCCCAGGGTCCTGGGATCGAGCCCCACATCGGGCTCCCTGCTCTGCGGGAAGTCTGCTTCTCCCTCTCCCACTCCCCCTGCTTGTGTTCCCTCTCTCTGTCAAATAAATAAATAAAATCTTTAAAAAATAAAATACGGGGCGCCTGGGTGGCTCAGTTGGTTAAGCGACTGCCTTCAGCTCAGGTCATGATCCTGGAGTCCCTGGATCGAGTCCCGCATCGGGCTCCCTGCTCAGCGGGGAGTCTGCTTCTCCCTCTGACCCTCCCCCCATCTCATGTGCTTTCTCTCTCATTCTCTCTGTCTCTCAAATAAATAAATAAAATCTTTAAAAAAAAAAATAAAAAAATAAAAAATAAAAAATAAAATACGTCCATAAATTTTGATATTCCTTATTTCAAATGATGGAGCTTAATTTCCTTCCCCTTAAGTGTGGCTTATACTTAGTAACTCACTTCTAATGAACAGGATGTGATGGTCTGTAACTTTTGAGACTGAATCATAACAGGCATTGCAGATTCCTCCTTTCTGTCTCTCTTGGATGACTGGCTCAGGGGGAAGCAAGCTGACATAAATCTATCAAACAACCTTAGGGGGAGGTGCACCTGTCAAGGAACTAAAGCTTCCTGCCAAAAGCCAACAGTCATCTGAGTATGTTATCTAAAAGCAAACCCTCCAGTACCAGTCAAGCCATGACTACAGACTGGCCATCATCTTGATTACACATTCCTGAAAAACCATGAACCAAAACTACCCAGCTAACTAAGCTATACTCAAAACTATGAGATACAAATGTTTGTCATCTGAGGCCATTAAGATTTAGGAGTAATCTGTTACACAGTAATAGAAAATAAAATAGTAAATATTCAAAACATTTTAATGTCATAAATGATGGAAGAAGTGATTCTGTTGACCTTTAAAAATATGACTAAAACTAAACTCTTCCAAATAAATTTAATATTATCTATCTCAATTCCAGACAAACAGACAACCTCAGCTCTACCTCTCTAGAGCATAACCCCAAAGAGTACAGGAATACAAACATTCTTTCTCAACTCTCGAATCAGAAATTCTGTTTCAAGGCTCACCTCACAAATCAAACAAAGAATCTCTCCCCAGTAATTGGATACCTAAACTATACACCCAGTGACATAAGGATGATGACAACATGCATTGGTGTTCATATCCCCAACACTGGTCATGTATCTTTCTAATCCCCATTCTACCTGTAACACTCACTTACTGAGGTTGGTGATTTCATTTCAGTACATTTAAACAACCCATCTTTATTTACTATCCAATGTCTTCCTGCATCAGGAATGCTATCTCTACTCTAGCTTTCCAATTCTCAGATATACCAAACATTCCACATCATATGTGATATCTATTTCTTAGAAACCCTCTTTTCTGAGCTAGGCAGAATTTCCATCTGTGGGTTTAATATTTTTAGGTTTAGGTAAATCCTAGCTATTTTATTTTAAATCTTTCCTATTCCTTAAATTCTCTTTTTGATAGCAGAGGATTCACCCTGACAGAGTACTCACTCTCTAACACAGATTCAAACAATCCTTTAAAATTAATGACTTCGAAACTGGGCACTCTCTTCAGCGGAATTTGGCCAACTAGGCCTCCCAGACTGGGAAGCAATATAATTTTTAATTTGAAGAAGAAAACAAGAAAGAAAATAAAACATTAACCCAGTGTTCCTTAATTTGATAATTTTTGTTATTTTTTTAAAAGATTTTATTTATTTATTTGTCAGAGACAGAAAGAGGGCACAAGCAGGGGAAGTGGCAGGCAGAGGGAGAAGTAGGCTCCCCTCTGAGCAAGGAGCCCGACGCAGGACTCGATCCCAGGACCCTGTGATCATGATCTGAGCTGAAGGCAGACACTTAACCAATGAGCCACCCAAGCATCTTGATAATTTTTATGATTAAGACTGAACTTAATTTAACATTAAACTGTTAATGAAGGATAACTATTCTTAAAGAAACAGTTCAAACAGAAGAGCTTATTGAGAAATGTTTAAAATAGTCAAGCTACTTTTAAATGTCCTTCAAATACTTTAGTAGCAACCATTACAAGGAAAATAATTCACAAGTCATTCTTATCTAATCTCTCAGAGCCTCTTCCAGGTAACATTGTTAAAGAAGACTGTGTCCTGGGACGCCTGGATGGTGCTATCAGGTGTTGGACTCGGTTTCAGCTCAGGTCCCGTGATCTCAGTCATGAGATCAAGTCCTGCATTGGGCTCCATGCTGAGCAGAGTCTGCTTGGGATTCTCTCTCCCTCTCCCTCTGCCCCTCCCACTTGTGCTGTCTTCTCTCGTTCTCTCTAAAATAAATAATCTTAAAAAAAAAAAAGCTGTGTCCTTACATTAAAGTAAGAAACTTCACATGTTTCAGTATTTCATTACTCAGTCTTTTCACTAATTCAAGCTTATTTATCCTTTACACCAGTTAAATAAGCAAAATTTCTGCATCTAAACAAATACCATCCTACAGTTTATTAACTGGGCTCTTATATTTCAAATTACTTTAACAGACAATGCCTTCAATAACACTTATGTTCTCAGCCTAATCATTTAAGGGTTTTATCATATGCTACTTTGGGTACCTCATATGTGCATGGATATGCACCCAAAGTAGCATATGATATGCTTTATTATGTGCTACCAAGAGTACATTAAAAGGTTAAGAAATAACATGGAACAACAATAAGCTTAAGGAAACTATGTTATTACAGACAATTTACTAATCTGGTGATTAATAAAATCAAGACAAAGGAGCACATTCACATATTATCATTTAAAAATTCAATAGGCTGAGGGATGCCTGGGTGGCTCAGTTGGTTGAGCATCTGTCTGCCTTCGGCTCAGGTCATGATCCTGGGTTTCTGGGATCAAGTCCCATATCAGGCTCCTTGCTCAGTGGAGAGCCTGCTTCTCCCTCTGCCTGCCACTCACCCTGCTTATACTCTCACTCTCCCTCTCCCCCCTCTCTCTCAGGCAGATAAATAAATAAAATCTTTTTAAAAAATTCAAGAGGTTAATTTTGGCATTGAAATACACTGTATCTTGCTTATAAGCCATTAGACAATAATGAGAAATGAAACTATCTTCATTTTTATAATTGTGTGAAGGTATAATGTAACTTCTATCATTTATTACATTAAAATGTTTTGAGTATTTACTATTTTATTTTCTATTCCTAGGTAACAAATTACCCTAAACCTTAATGGCCTCAGATGTCAAACATTTGTATCTCATAGTTTCAAGTATAGCCTAGTTATAAGTCAAAGTTTATAATATGTGAAGTTTCTTACTTTAATGTTCTTAGTTTCTAAATTTCATGGCAGAGTACTAAAAACTCAATCAAGAAATAAAATGTTTATCAAAATATCATAAAGCTACACTAATTAAAATAATGTGATAGTGGCACAGAAAATAGCACATGAATTCATGAAATCAAACAATCCAGAGACATATCCATGCACATATGAGAATTTAGTAGTTCATTAAAATGGCATTTCAAATCACTGACTAAAGAAAGGACTATCCAACCATACCTCATACTAGAACAAAAATAAATTCCAGAAGAATTAAAACTTAAAAAAATATTTAAAAGTATTAAAAGAAACTGTAGAAAATATTCTTGTAGTTCTTGAGGTGATTAGATCTTCCTAAAAAAAAAAAAAATCAAAACTAGGTGGAGAACAGAGGATTTTTAGGGCAGTGAAATTATTCTGCATGATACTATAATGGTGGATACATTTCATTCTATTTTTCCAAACTCTTAGAATATATAATACCAAGTGTGAACCCTAATGTAAACTATGGGCTCTAGGTGATAACAATGAGTCAATGTAGGTTCATCAATTTTAACAAAGGTACCACTTGGGTGGGGCATGTTGCTAAAAGGGAGATTGTCCATATATAGGGACAGGAGGTATATGGGAAATCTCTATACCTTCTGCTTAATTTTGCTATAAACCCAAAACTGCCCTAAAAATAAAGTCTACTCAAATCTTGAAAAAGGGGGAGAACCTCAAAAAAATAAAAGAATCAAAACTCAGAAGTCAGTAAAGACTGACAAATTGTACTACACAGAAATTTAAAACTTTGATTAAAAAATCTTTTTAAAGTGTGAAATAAATTCTGTGTGTGAAAACAGAAAAAAAGGATGGAAATATATGTATTATCTATTTGTTGGTAGATATTTCTGCAGGAGAGAGATGAATTAGGAAGGGAGAAAAATGTCCTATATATAGAACATTCCTGTTTTTCTTCAAAATTTTTATTTAAATTCTTGTTAACATATAGTGTAATATTGGTTTCAGGAGTAGAATTTAGTGATTCATCACTTACGTATAACACACAGTGTTCATCATAACAAGTGCCCTCCTTAATACCTATCATCCATTTAGCCCATCCCCCGCCCACCTCCCTCCATCAACCCTCAGTTTGTTCTCTATCATTAAGAATCCCTTATGGTGTACTTTCTGCTCTTTTTTTCCCCCTTCCCATATGTTCATCTGTTTTATTTCCTAAATTCCACATATGAGTGAAATCATATGATATTTGTCTTTCTCTGACTGACTTACTTCACTTAGCATAATACCCTCTAGTTCCATCCATGTTGTTGCAAATGGCAAGATTTCATTCTGTCTGATGGTTGAGCAATCTTCCATTGCGTGTGTGTGTGGGGGGGGGGGAGAGAGAGAGAGAGACCACATCTACAGAACATTCTTATTGCCTGAAGTTTTTACCATATTACTTAGGCTACATATTACTTAGGAAGTTTTTGAGCACAACGTTTTAAAAGAAATAAAATGTGCAATACAATTTAATCCTTAGAATAGACATTTAAATCTAATGTCAAATCTAAAAAACTGTCAAATGATATAAATGTGAATGTCACTTTTTCCATTGCATTTAATAATTGCATGATGTTTAGAGTAGAATTAAAATCCCAATCCTAAAGTAGAAATAAAATCCTAATTAGAATTACTGCAGTGATCGTTTCACAATATATAGAAATACTGAATCATTATGTTGTACACCTTGAGCTAATGTAATGCTATATATCAATTATAACTCAATAAAAAATTCTATCAGTGGTAAATATAATACCTTTGCTTCTTCAAGTTCTTTGTCGGCGATATCCACCACAAAATTTTTCTCTTTTTCTAGTTGCTCTGCTAGTTGGTCAATTTTAATCAATTCTTTACAAAGATGCTCATTGTGGCTGGTTAAATCATCTACTTGACTGCTTACCACCTCCTTACTATCCAAGAGTTTCCTAACATATTCTTCCAAGCCATGATTTGTCTGTTTGAGATCTTCAATCTGTTATAATTAGAAAGAAAATAAACATATTAAAATATTTCCTTTGCTTCCCTCTGAGGAGAACAAGCAGGTGACTGGAATCAGGAAGGGAGGTTTGCTTCCCTGGAAGGAGACCTAACTATATATATTTTTTTTCACTTTCTGAATTTTGTACCATGTGAATGTAATACCTATCTGAAAAAAATGTATTAAATGAAAATGTAAAGGTTTATAGCTACATCTTCCAAGACAATTTACAATTAATAAATTTAATCACTATTGATTTTTAGCCAAAACTATTAGAAAAATAGCCAAATATTTATACCTACACAAAAGAAACCAGTCTTGAGAGCTTGTTTGGAGGTTCTAGCAGGGGAGCACAGCCAGTCTTGAAATTACTTAATTTTAATAATTAATATCAATTAGATGTTCTTCAGAATTAAATTTCTAATTATTAACAAAATATGTTAACTCTTTAAAAAAAAGTTCTTTTAAACATTATCAATAACTTACTTGACTAAGCTAAATACCAAATCAATCAAGTATTTGCTGACTAATGTGGAGGACCCACAGCTTTCCTTCCCAGCCCACTATCAAACCATCAAATGATGAAGAAAAGGGCCTTTTCTATCACAGAGATATCCAAATGCTTTCAAAGGAAAAAAAATACATTAGACCCATTGAAAATGATTGTCAGGATATATGGTGAATTGTTTAACTAAAATTTCCTTTTTTGCCCTGGCCTCAAGGAATTTTAAAGCCTACCTGCAACCCACCTCTAGCAACTAGCACAGAACCTGTATGCAATTATCTCCTGTCTACTATTCTTGTCCCATGCTTTCATTAAGTTTATTTTCCCCTATTCTTATTACCTAAGCTGTTTTTATTATTTGCATCTTTTTTAAAACTATAGGATGTGGGATAAACACACATAAACTTCAATTTATCTATCTATATGTCTTTTTATCTTTGTTCATGGCTTCTACAGCGCCACACTTTTGAGCAGTAAGAGCACACTAAAAATGTTTGCTAACTTTCTACTGCACCAGGAGAGGTTAAATGCTTTTCCTCTCTGTGCTCCCATAAAGTCTCTTACACAGTTTAATTTTGGTATTTTATAACATATATTATTTGTTTACCTTCCTGTGCCTTCCACTAAATTCTAAGCAACTTTAAAGGCATTGTCTCTAACTTCAGTATTAACACACCTCTTAATTCTGTATCATTTACTATATATCTAGCATAAAATGCTCAAATTATTTTTAAATGAATGAATAAAACAAATAAATTATAAATTAAACACTCACTCTCCTCACCTCTAACATCAAACCCTACTTTTCTAAATTCCACAAGTACTTTAGAAGAGGCAGTTTCAAGTGGTAGAAAGGATGTAGGCTTTGGAATTAGGCTGACAGGTTCAAGTCCTGTTGTAGTTCTTTACCAGTTACTTAATCCTGACAATTTACCATATTTTCTTGATCCTAAGAGATGCATCTGACTTCAGAAAGAATAAATGGAAGCCTCTTGACTTTCATCTGCTAAATGGAGAGAATACCCACAATTTGCAGGGTTGTAGTCAGGTATAAAAGTTCAAGTAAAATTTCTGGCAGATGACAAGTACTCAAAAAGTAGCTTTAAAAAAAACTTTTTACTTTGAAATAACTGAAGAGTCACAGGAAGTACAAAAGGATCTCCTGGGCCCTTAACCCACTTTCCCCAATAGTTCCATCTTAAATAATTATAGTACAATATCAAACTCAGAGATTTGACATTGGTACAACATGATCCCATGTATAGACTGCTGTAGTCAGCATCTCGGTAAGATACAGAATTATTCCATCACCACAAAGGATTGGCCTCCTGTTACCCCGTTATAGTCACATCCTCTCCCTTCCCCATCCTTAACTCTTAGCAACCACTAATCTCTATAATTTTGTCTTTTCAAGAATGTTATATAAATAAAATCATGTGATAAAGATCATAGTATGTGATCTTTTGACATCGTCTTTTCACTCAGCACAATGCCATTGAGATCTATTGAAGTTACATGGATCAATTGTTCATTCTTTTTTGTTGCTGAGTAATACTCCATGGTATGGATTACCAGTCTGTTTAGTCATTTACTGATTAAGGGAAATTGTAGTTGTTTCCAGTCCTTATGACAAATAAAGCTGCTATGAACAATCATATACAAATATTTGAATGGATATAAGTTTTCATTTCTCTGGCATACCCAGGAGTGCAATTGCTAGGCTATATGATAAATATATATTTAGTTTAAAAAGAACTGAACTATTTTCCAGAGTGGTTGTACCATTTCCATTCCTACCAGGAATGTATGAGTGATCCAGTTTCTCCTCATCCTTGCCAGCACTGGGCATTGTCACTATTTTTAATCTCAACTGTTCTTATAGGTGTACATTGTTACTTCATCTTGGTCTTAATTTGCATTTCCCTGACATTTAGAAAGGATGAACATCTTTTTATGTGCTTATCAACATATATCCTTCTATGAAATATCTCTTCACATCTTTTGCTTATTTTCTAATTGGATTGTTCCTTTTTACTGCTGACTTTTAAGAATTCTTCATGTATCTGGGCGCCTGGGTGGCTCAGCTGGTTAAGCGACTGCCTTCGGCTCAGGTCATGATCCTGGAGTCCCGGGATCGAGTCCCGCATCGGGCTCCCTGCTCAGCAAGGAGTCTGCTTCTCTCTCTGACTCTCTCCCCTCTCATGCTATCTCATTCTCTCTCTCAAATAAATAGATAAAATCTTTAAAAAAAAAAATTCTTCATGTATCCTACATATGATTCTTCTGGTAGAAATATGGTTTGTAGCTTGTTTTTTCATCCTGTTAAAAGGGTTTTTCACAAAGCAGAAGATTTAAATTTTGATGAAGTCCAAATTATCAATTTTTCTTTTATGAATCTGCTTTTGGTGTCACATCTAAGAACTCTCCACCAAGCCCAAGGTCCTGAAGATTTTCTATATTACCCTAAAAAAGTTCCATAGTTTTTACGTTTTACATTTAAACTTATGATCCATTTTTAATTAATTTTTTGTGTAAGGTGTGAGGTTTAGGTCTAAATTTTCTTCCCTGAAAGATATCCAATTGTTTCAACACCATTTGTTGAAAAGACTATCTTTCCTTCTGTCAAAAACCTTTTGGCTTTACTTGTGTAAGGCTATTTCTGAATTCTCTATTCTGTATCATTGATCTGTGTCTATCCCTCTAGTACTACCAAACCGTCTTAATTACTGTAGTTATATATTAAGCTTTGAAATCAAAGAGAATGACTCTTCCCACTTTTATTCTTTTCAAAATAGTTTTTGCTGGGGTTTTGATGAGAATTGCATTAAATGTGTACTGATTTGGAGAGAACTGACATCTTTACTATGTTGAGGCTTCCAATCCATGAACATGATGTCACTCCATTTGTTTAGACCTTCTTTGATTTCTTTCATTAGCATTTTGTAGTTTTCAGATTATAAATTCATACTTACTTTTTTAGATTGACATCTAAGGATTCCATTTCCTATTTGAGTGATTGTAAATGATATTGCATTTCTGATTTCCACACGTTAATTGCTAATATACAGAAAGAAAATGAATATGTATGGCTTGTATTGTGATCTTGATGAACTTGTTTACTAGTTCTAGTTTTGTATTGTAGATTTTACGAGATTTTCTAGGTAGAAGATCATGACATCTACAACGAGGGACAGTTTTATTTCTTCATTTCTGGTTTGTATGCCTTTCAACCTTTCAGCCTACATGTATCATTATATTTGAAATGAATTTCTTACAGAAAGTATAAAGCTAGATCAGGTTTTTAAATCCAGTTTACTAGTTTCGTCTTTTAATTGGTATATTTAGACTTTTATACTAAGATTCAAGTGTGAGTCAACTATACTTCAGTAAAAAAAATATTCAAGTGTGACTTCTTTTTGGTTGTTTCTGTTTTGTTTTCTCTGTTTTGTTTTTCCCGCCCTCCTGTGGGTTACTTGAACTTTTTTTAATTCCATTTTAACTTATCTATAGTGTTTTTGAGAAATCTCTTTGTATAGCTTTTTAGTAGTTGCTCAAAGTGTAACTTATTTGTAACTTAGCACAGCATACATTTTACCCGTTCAAGTGAAGTGTAGAAAACTTACTTCCCTTTATACCCCTTATATCCTTTTACCCTCATCTGCTAATAAAATAATTATCTTAAATATTTCATCTACATCCATTGAGAACTACACTTGACAAACATAATGTAGAAAACAAAAAAGGAAATTGTATTGCTTTTAGCCATATTCTTGTCTTTAATATTCTTCCAAGATTCTTTTTTTTTTTAAGATTTTATTTATTTGAGAAAGAGAGAGAATGAGAGAGAGAACAAAAGAGGGGGAAGGGTCAGAGGGAGAAGCAGACTCCCTGCTGAGCAGGGAGCCCGATGTGGGGCTCGATCCTGGGACTCCAGGATCATGACCTGAGCTGAAGGCAGTCGTTTAACCAACTGAGCCACCCAGGTGCCCCTCTTCCAAGATTCTTTTATCACTTCCTTCCTAGTTAGAGAAATTCCTTTAACTATTCTTGTAGGATAGTTATGCTGACAACCAATTCTCTTAGTTTTCTTCATCTGAGAATGTGTTGATTCTCCATTCATTTCTGAAGGATACTTTCACTGAATACAGAATACTGGGTTTTCTTCTAGCATTTAAAAAATGTTTACTTCCTTCCAACCTCCATGTTTTCAGATCTGTTGTTAATTTGATTGGTGTTCACCTATAACCAATGAACTGTTACTTTCAGGATTATTTTTTTTGTCTTTAGTTTTCATAAGTTTGAATACAAGGTGTCTTGGCATGGGTTTCTTTGAGAGATTCCTGGTAGGAATCACTCACCTTCTTTAATCCATCTTAAGTCTTTTGCCAAATTTAGAGAATATTTAGCCATTACTGCTCTGAATATTTTTTCAGTCCCATCCTCTCTTACCTTTCTTTCTGGGACTCCAGTGATCTAAGTATTAAACCTTTGTTATAGTCCCACCTGTCCCTGAGCCTCTCTTTGCACTTTTTCAATCCATTTTCTCTCTGTTCAGATTAGGTTATTTCTATTTTCTATTCTCATGTTCACCAATTCATTCCTCTCTCCTTTCCATCCTGTTGTTTGAGAACACGGAGTTTTTAATTTCAGTTACTGTATTTTTTAAAAATTTTTTCATTGTGGTAAAACATACATAAAACTTACCATTCTAACCATTCTTAAGTGTGCGATTTGGTGGCATTAAGTACATCCACAATATTGTGCAACCATCCATCCCACAGCCATTTCCAGAATTTTTTTATTATCCCGAAGTCTGTACCCACTAAACAATAACTCTGTATGAATTTGCCTATTCTAGGTACCACATATAAGTGGAATCAGATATTTGTCCCTCTGTGCCTGGCTTATTTCACTTAGCATAATGTTTTCAAGTCTCACCCATGTTGCAGTCTTGCATCAGAATTTCGGTCTTTTTTTAAGACTGAATAATATTCCATTGTATGTACTCATCACATCTTGTTAAGCATCTATTGATGGACATCTAGGTTGCTTCCACCTTTTGGCCACTGAAAATCATGCTGCTATGAACATCAGTGTACAAGTATTTGAGTTCCTACTTTTTAATCTTTTGGGGATATATCTAGGAGTGGAATAGCTGGATCATATGGTAATTCTATATTTAACTTTTACAGGAACTGCCAAACTTTTTCCACCATGGCTGCACCATTTTACATTCCCATAACAATGCACAATGGCTCCAGTTGCTACACAACCTCACCTGCACTTGTTATTTTGTTTTGATAATAGCCATACTAATAGGTATGAAATGATACCTCATTGTGGTTTTGATTTGCATTTCCTCAATGGATGATGATGTTGACCATCTTTTCATGTGCTTGCCATTTGTATATCTTTGGAAAAATGTCTATTCAAGTCCTTTGCCCACTTTTGAATTGGGTTGTTTTGTTTTTTGATTGTTGAGTTGTGAAGTACTTTATATATTCTCGATATTAATCCTTTATCAGATACATGATTTGGAAATATTTTCTCCCATGCATTTTTTAAATACTTTATTTTTTTTAAGATTTTATTTAATTATTTGAGAGAGCACGCACATGCACACAAGCGGGGGGGAGGGGCAGAGGGAGAGGCAGACTCCCCACTGAGCAGGGAGCCAGATGCGCAGGTCCCAGGTCCCCGGGATCATGACCTGAGCTGAAAGCAGATGCTTAACTGACTGAGCCACCAAAGTGCCCCTAGACTTTATTATTTTTAGAACGTTTTAGGCTTACAGAAAAGTTAATCAGGAAGTACAGAGCCCCTTCTCCCCACCCAACACAGTTTCCCATCTTATTTATATCTGGTATTAGTATGGTGTATATGCTACAATTATGAGCACTGACACATTAACCAAAATCCAGAGTTTATATCAGGGTTTACTCTTTGGGTTGTACATTCTATGGGTTTTGACAAATGCTTAGTGACATGTGTCTACCATTACTGTATCATACAGAATAGTTTCACTGACCTAAAAAACCTGTGCTCCATTCACCCTTCCCACCCTTCCTTCCTCCAAATCCCTGGCAATCAGTGATCTTTCTAATGTCTCTATTTTGTCTTTTCCAGAAGGTCAAATAATTGGAATCAGAGAGTATGTAACCTTTTTGGTTAGTTTTTCTCACCCAGCAATTTGCTTTCAATGTTTCTTCATGTCTTTTTGTGGTTGACAGCTCATTTCTTTTTATCAATGAATAATATTCTATTGTACAGATATACCACAATTTATCTATTCACCTATTGAAGAACATCTTGGTTGCTTCCAAAATTTTCACTTCATTCTTCTTTGTATACCTTTTATTTCTTTGATGAGATTTTCCAGCTTTGTGTTTGTTTCAAACATGGTCAGAATTGCTTGAAGCATTTATATAATTGATTTAAAATCCTTGTGAGATAATCTCTAATTCATCTCTGTGTTGGCATCTCTTGGTTGTCTTTTCTCATTAAGGTTGAGTATTCCTGATTTTTGAGATAAGAAGTGATTTTTTCATTGAGATCTGCTCTTGTGTTTTAGTAGGTTTCTTGTCACACTTCCTGTGACTTTAATTCCAGCTAATAAAGGGGGACACTACCTTCTTATTGCTAAATGTAGGTGAAAGTCCAATTTCTCTACTAGGCCTCTGTTGATACCTGGGCAGGACTGGTTTCCTTGTTACTGCTAGGCAGGAATGGGAGTTCAGGGTCCCCACCAGACCTCTGCTGATACCACCACAGTAAGGAAAAATACAGGCACCCTGTTACTGTTCCCATGTGTCCTCCACCACCACTGTGGGTGGGTGGACTTGTTACTGCTAGGAGGTGGTAAAAGTCCTGACTCTGCATGAGGTCCCCTCTGAAACCACCTCAACAAAAAGGAAAGGGGACACCTGTTGCTCTGGGTGAGGGTGGATATCTAGGCTCCTCATGTGGTCTTTGCTGACACTAGGCGGTTGTGGGGGGCTCTTACTGCCTGGTGGGCACTAAAGTCTAGGGTCCCCAGCATGCCTCTTTGATACCAGCTTGGTGGGATGTGGGAGCCTGGAGGGTGGGCCATGATGTCTGGCTGGAACTCCTTGTCACAGCCTGACAAGGGTGGAAGTCTAGGCTTCTTCCTCAGATTTTGCCAGCAGGAGTGGGGCTATAGTTTTTTTCATGGTGTTTGAGTAGGCAGTTATTGTCCAAAAATAGTCTGCATTAGAAACAGATCCATAAATACAGAGAACAAAATGATGGTTGCCAGAGGGGAGGAAGATGGGGAAAATGGGTGAAGGAGAGTGAGAGGTATAGGCTTCCAGTTACAGAATGAGTAAGTCATGAGGATGAAAGGTAAAATGGAGGGAATATAGGCAATGGTATTATAATAGCACTGTATGGTGACAGATGGTAGCTACACTTGTAGTGAGCAGAGCATAGAGTTGTCCAATCACTATGCTATACACCTGAAACTAATGTAACACTATGTGTCAACTATAATTAAAAAAATTAAAAATTAAAAAATAAGAGAGAAAAAAGAGTAACTTCACCAGGGAAAAGCCCAGAAAATAACACTTTAACCAAGGGATCCAAATACAGATCATTACTAATGGGACAAATTGAAATTGTGTGCTACTTGATAGTATGCAATGAAAAGAACCCACCATCACTTCTGTGATATTCCTGTCTGTATTCATTTTGTACCTTAAGCCAACAATTATGTCACAGTTTCCTGGGATCAGGGATCTGGGAGTGGCTTAATTAGGTGATTCTGGTTTAAGGTCTCTCACTAGGTGAAAGGAGTCAGTTCTAAGAAGTAAGAAAAAACTTCTTACTAAAAGAAGATTTAAGTGGGGCTAGAGAATCCACTTCCAAACTTACCCTACATAGTTGGTAGGCCTCAGTTTCTCACTGGCTACTGGCTGCTTCAGTTCCTTTCCAAGTGGGCCTATCCACTGAGCTGCTCACAAAGTGGAAACTTGCTTCCCATGGAGGAAGTGATCCAAGAGCTCACTTTATAACTTAATCACTTCTGCTCTATGCTCTTGGTCACAGAGATCAATTCTGGTACCATGTGTAAGGAGACTGTATTAGAGTGGGAGTAAAGGAGGTGGGGCCAATTTGAAGACTGGCTTCCACACAGCCAAAGGTTCATAACATAAAGATAATCATAACAAACCCAAATCAATGGCCATTCTACAAAATAATTGGCCCGTATTCTTCAAAGTGTTGTGGTCATAAAAATCAAGGAAGAATGTTCCTGAATGAAGAAGATAAAGGGACACAATAACCAAATGCAACATGTGATGCTGGATTAGATCTTTTTGTTATTGAGGACATTATGGGACAATGGCAAAAACTTGAATGGGGTCAGAGGATTAGCTGGCAGCAACATATTTCTTAATTTTACCAGACTACTGAGATCTTGTAGGAGAATGTTCTTATTTATAGGAAATACCCACTCAAATGTTAGGGTTGTCAGGACATCAGGTCTGCAACTTATTCTAAATTGGTTTGGGATTGGGGGGGGGTGGAGATATTCTTTGTTCTGTAATTGCAACTTTTAGATAAGTTTGAGATTGTTTCCAAGTTAAAAATGTATATAAATTATAAAGACCTCGGACAGAAAAAAAAAGTGGTCTACATTGCTAGGCTGCCCCCTTCCTAGTCCTTTTTTTGTCTGCATCCATTCTAGATGCCAGTTTTTCTAGCAATCTCTGAGATACATGGAGCAAAAGGAAAACCCGTGAATTCAATAACATGTCACTTATTGTATGCTGAGATCCCTAGCCAGTCTTCCTTCTGCCCACCTTCCAGAATGTCCTTATGTTTGTTTTATAACAAAATGTTCAGCATTTTTAGTTGTCCTTAGTGGGACAAATAGGGTAAAGTAAGTCTACTCTGTCTTACTAAAAGAGGAAGTTTCTTTTACTAGCCTTAATTAGTAGCCTTACCACAGGTCAGGCACTAGGAAAACAGACAATACCGAACTTGGGGTTCAGAGGACTGGGTTCAAATCCTAGCTAACCTGGGAGTTCAGATAAATCCTACCTAGCTCTGTCACATGTTAGTCAAATAATTCTATAACCTCTTGGAACTTCAGCTTCCATGTCTGTAAAATGGAAATCACATCACTATTTCACAAGGTTGAAATTAAGTACTTAAGTTGGATTATGTACTTAATAACACTGGATGTAACACTTCCACATAGTTTGCACTCATATATATCTGAATCTGCATGTATCAAAATGATAAAGATAAAAATGGAATGATTCTAGACCCATCAAATTCCTATGAACACTGAATTAGTATTTATTCTCCATCTTCTTGTTTTAAAATAGGTCCCCATCCCAAATTATTTCAGGGAAATAAATGTAACCTGTAATTTCAGTGCAGAGATGAATTTATCTTGATTTCTCACTTCTTGTTCTAGCTGGAGTTTATTCTGGTATTTTTCAGCTTCAGAAACTGGAGCCCCTAGACCAAAATCATGTTCTTTGGTGGTAACCTAGTGGGAAAAAAATGGGAATGATACAGAGGCATTCAGTTTAAAACAGTTTTGTGGTTTTTCACAACAGTCAATGATCTTTGGAAATTAACAATATTCTTAGATACATTTGCAATAATTTTTAACCTTGTCTCACCAGCTAAGAGGATTTTCATCAAGCTTTACTTTCTTAAAATCCCATGTTATAAAACTTTTTCTGTTTTCCAAATATAAAACAATATTAAACATGCTCTTTAAAAAAAGAAAAAACAAATATATCCCATCCTATCCCTTTGGTAACGACTGTTCTAAGGAAATATGGGTCATCAGCAAATTATGTAGGCTACTTCTAGGCCTGTGTTGTCCAATATAATAGCTACTAGCTACCTATTTGTTGCTGCTTTTGTATATTAACAAAAAGGTTTGCTACCCATATCACAAAGGGCTAACTTCCCTAATATAGAAATAATTCATATAAATAAAAAAGGAAATGAAATACCCTAATAGAAAAATTGGCCAAGAATATGGATATTTCACAGAAATGGCTTTTAAACAGACTGAAAGATATTCAATCCCACAAATTAAAACACCACCACGATACCATTTTTTAACCTCACAACGGCAAAGATCAGAAAGTTGGATATATAATTTAACATTCTTACACATCAGTGGTGACGGTGTAAATTGATACGGTATTTCTGGAGAACAACTGTGCAAAATCTAGCAACATTACAAATGCACAGAGCTTCTGTACAAATAATTCCACTTGCAGGAACTTTTCCTATATATATATCTGCACATGTGCAAAATAACATGTTAAAATATTTTTCACTTTAGCGAACTACACATACTACTCCACACTGTGCTTTTTTACATGACAATGTATCTCAGAAATTGTGTAATTTAGGGAAATAATTTGTCCTTTCCCTGAATCAAGGTTGCCATTCTGTTAAGGAAGAGAGAATTTGCTATAAGCATCCTAGATCTCTCCTGGCAACACAGATGCTATTCTCCAAATCTAGCATTTGGGAAATGATAGGATTGCAATGCCCCAGTCACTGACTTTGTATTCCACCAGTACAATCCAGCACTTAGTAGTACAGGCTTAATTCCCTTTTTCTCTTTCCCTAAACCAGACATAAATCTGCTTTTCTGTTTGTTCTTCATTCCAGCAGTTACTGTCTCACCTAGAATTTCAGCACTAGGTCTCACAGAGTATTTCTAATTGATGAATCATTTAGGACTGTATAGGTTAGGCCAAAATCCTACTTCTTACATAGTTTCTGTTGAAAAATATGTTCCTATATGCTGGCTAACTGAACATAATAAAATAAAAAGTGTTCCTAGCCATAAACATTTGACTTAGAATAACAGATTCAGACTATACACTATAATAGTACTTTTCAATACTGAACATATGAATCACTTAGGAATTTTCTTATTCACATTAGGCCTGAAATACTGCATTTCTAAAAATGCTGCTCAGTAATTCCTTATTTGGCTAGTACAGAGACTACACTTCAAGGATCTCTTCAATTAAAGCTGTAACCTGCCACACATTCAGAGTTCTTCATAATTTGGTCACCTCCCACTTCTCCAAACTTATCTCCTACTTGATACCTCCAAAACACCTCTATAAATATAAGACAAACTATTCTCCATACTCTTTATACATAGGTTCATATTATCATTATAGAAATACACTAACTTTTGCTCATGAGTCTTGCCCTTTTCACCATTTAACTAAAGACACTTCTGAGGCTCAGCCTGAATTCCACAGTCTCTTAGGTGTTCTCAATATTCTCCATCAAATAGTGATCGCTTCTTCATTGACACTTCTGTATGTACTGGTTATGAATAAACTGTGTAGCTATTTATTTTTTTGGATAGGTCTTCCTCACACATTAGAATCTTTTTTCTTTTATTATGTTATGTTAGTCACCATACAGTATTTCATTAGTTTTTGATGTAGTGTTCCATGATTCAGTTTGCATATAACACCCAGTGCTCACTGCAATACATGCCCTCCTTAATACCCATCACCAGGCTAACCGATCCGCCCACTCCCCTCCCCTCTGAAACCCTGTTTGTTTTCCGAAGTCCACAGTCTCTCATGGTTTGTCTCCCCCTCTGATTTCCAACCCCTTCATTTTCCCCTTCCTTCTCCTAATGTCCTCCGCATTATTCCTTATGTTCCACATATAAGTGAAACCACATGGTAATCGTCTTTCTCTGCTTGACTTATTTCACTTAGCATAATCCCCTCCAGTTCCATCCATGTCAATGCAAATGGTGGATACTCATCCTTTCTGATGGCTGAGTAATATTCCATTGTATATATGGACCCCATCTTCTTTATCCATTCATCTGTTGAAGGGCATCTCGGCTCCTTCCACAGTTTGGCTAGCGTGGACATTGCTGCTATGAACACCGGGGTGCATGTACCCCTTCTTTTCACTTCATCTGTATCTTTGGGGTAAATACCCAGGAGTGCAATTGCTGGGTCATAGGGTAGGTCTATTTTCAACTTCTTGAGGAACCTCCACACTGTTCTCCAAAGTGGCTGTACCAACTTGCATTCCCACCAACAGTGTAAGAGGGTTCCCCTTTCTCCACAACCTCTCCAACATTTGTTGTTTCCTGGCTTGTCAATTTTTGCCATTCTAACTGGTGTAAGGTGGTATCTCAATGTGGTTTTGATTTGATTTTCCCTAATGGCTAATGATGTTGAAAGTTTTTTCATGCGTCTGTTAGCCATTCATAGGTCTTCCTTGGAGACGTTCATGTCTTCTGCCCATTTCTTGACTGGATTATTTGTTTTTTGGGTGTTGAGTTTGAGAAGTTCTTTATAGATCTTGGATATCAGCCCTTTATCTGTAGTGTCATTTGCAAATATCTTCTCCCATTCCGTGGGTTGCCTCTTTGTTTTGTTGACTGTTTCCTTTGCTGTGCAGAAGCTTTTTATCTTGATGAAGTCCCAAAAGTTCATTTTCACTTTTGTTTCCCTTGCCTTTGGAGACGTGTCTTGAAAGAAATTGCTGTGGCTGATGTCAAAGAGGTCACTGCCTATGTTCTCCTCTAGGATTTTGATGGATTCCTGTCTCACATTGAGGTCTTTCATTCATTTACAGTTTATCTTCATGTATGGTATAAGAGAATGGTCGAGTTTCATTCTTCTGTATTTAGCTGTCCAATTTTCCCAGCACCATTTATTGAAGAGACTGGTTTTTTTTTCTATTGGATATTTTTTTCCTGCTTTGTCTAAGATTATTTGACCATTTAACCATTGATTTGAGGGTCCATATCTGGGCTCTCTATTCTGTTCCACTTATCTATGTGTCTGTTTTATCTATGTGTCTGCTTGAAGTCAGGCAACATGATGCCCCCAGATTTGTTTTTCTTTTTCAACATTTCCTTGGAATCTTTTCCGATTCCATACAAATTTTAGAACTGTTTGTTCCAGCTCTTTGAAAAATGCCATTGGTATTTTGATTGGGATGGTGTTGAAAGTACAGATTGCTCTGGGCAGCATAAACATTTTAACAATGTTTATTCTTCCAATCCATGAGTATGGAATGTTTTCCCATCTTTTTGTGTCTTCTTCAATTTCTTTCATAAGTGTTCTGTAGTTTCTAGAGTATAGATTCTTTACTTCTTTGGTTAGATTTATTCCAAGGTATCTTATGGTTTTTGGTGCTCTTGTAAATGGAATTGATTCCCTAATTTCTCTTTCTACAGTTACATTGTTAGTGTATAAGAAAGCAACTGATTTCTGTGCATTGATTTTGTATCCTGGCACATTAACTGAGTTGCTGTGTGAGTTCTAGTAATTTGGAGGTGGAGTCTTTCCACATAAAGTATATCATCTGTGAAGAGAAAGAGTTTGACTTCTTCTTTGCCAATTTGAATACCTTTTATTTCTTTTTGTTGTCTGATTGCTGTTGCTAGGACTTCTAGTACTATGTCAAACAATAGTGGTGAGAATGGGCATCGTTGTCGTGTTCCTGATCTTAAGGGAAAAGCTCTCAGCTTTTCCCCAGCAAGAATGATATTCACTGTGGGCTTTTCATAGATGGATTTTATGAAATTGAGGAATGTTCCCTCTATCCCTATACTCTGAAGCTTTAATCAGGAAAGGATGCTGTATTTTGCAAATGTTTTTTCTGCATCAATCTAGAGGACCATATGGTTCTTCTCTCTCCTCTTATTAATATATTCTATCACACTGATTGATTTCCGAATGTTGAACCACCCTTGCATCCCAGGGATAAATCCCATTTGATCGTGATGGATGATCCTTTTACTGTATTGATGGATCCTATTAGCTAGGATCTTCTTGAGAATTTTGGCATTCATATTCATCAGGGATATTGGTCTGAAATTCTCCTTTTTGATGGGGTCTTTGCCTGGTTTGGAGATCAAGGTAATTCTGGCCTCAATGAACAAGTCTGGAAGTTTTCCTTCTGTTTCTATTTTTTGAAACAGCTTCAGAAGAATAGGTATTATTTCTTCTTTAAATGTTTGGTAGAATTCCCCAGGGAATCCATCAGGCCCTGGACTCTTGTTTTTTGGGAGGTTTTTGATCACTGCTTCAATTTCATTAGTGGTTGGTTATTGGTCTATTCAGATTGCCAGTTTCTTCCTGTTTCAGTCTTGGTAGTTTATAGGTTTCCAGGAAGGCATCCATTTCTTTCAGGTTGCTTAATTTATTCGCATATAGTTGTTGATAATAATTTCTAATAATTGTTTCTATTTCCTTGATGTTAGTCATGGTCTCTCCCCTTTCATTCATAATTTTATTAATTTGGGTCCTTTCTCTTTTCTTTCGGATAAGTCTGGCTAGTGGTTTATCAATCTTATTACTTCTTTCATAGAACCAGCTTCTAATTTCGTTGATCTGCTCTACTGTATTTCTGGTTTCTAATTCATTGATCTCTGCTCTAATCTTTATTATTTCTCTTCTCCTGCTTGGCTTAGGCTTTATTTGTTGTTTTTTCTCCAGTTCTTTAAGGTGTAAAGTT